TGTCTAACAATTTCGCAAATCGACGAAAATGTGAAAAATATTGGGCAGTGTCCTTAGAGTTATTTCTTTTATCAAGAGGATTAAGAGTATAAATTTTAATGATTCACTGGTACGATTAGCTAATCTGAATAATACCCATGTTCCTCATTATTGGATCTCAAACTATGAGATGTGGTTATCACAAGATGGAGATTATCAGTTATTATAATAAGTAAATTAACTGAGTACACGCAATTAGATTTTTTGATAACCTTTATTATCTTCATATTGGTACAGTCTAAAAAATTCGTCCATAAAGATTTCTTCTGTTAATCCCACTGGAAGAATATCTTTTACGTAATACATTCATAACAAAGTCAAATAAGAATACTTTACAGCCGCAGTTTGGCACGTCAGCCTCCGTGGAGAGGAAAGCCATACATACATGAAGACAAGAAGAGGCAGACAAACAGAAACAGACACACACACACACACACACACACACATACACACACACACACAACACAGAGAGAGAGAGAGAGAGAGAGAGAGAGAGAGAGAGAGAGAGAGAGAGAGAGAGAGAGAGAGAGAGAGAAGAGAGAAGAGAGAGAGAGAGAGAGAGAGAGAGAGAAAGAGAGAGAAGATATACAAAAATACACACTTGATGTGTCAAAAGAAAGGGGATACGAGCCTAAAGAATCCAAACATCCCCGCCGAGAAGGAGACCGACCGACTCCATGTCCAGAAATTTCTAGAAGTCGAATCCTTAAGACCCAAGTAGCAAAGACTAACAAAATACTCTCATTAATCATGTGATTAGATACAACCGACAACGAGAGTCAAGGACAAGAGAACGGGAATAAAAAAGGACATGATAACAAACCCAAAAAATAAATCTCGTGATTGTACATCCATCTGCGTCTATTTATGTGTGTATGCGCGCGCTCGTGTGTGTTCATGTGTGTAGTTGTGGGTGTGCATATCTTAGAGTGCGTGTACATATGCGTGCAAGTGTGAGAGTGTGTTTATGTGTGTAGTTGTGGGTGTGCATATCTTCGAGTGCGTGTACACATGCGTGCAAGTGTGAGAGTGTGTTTGTGTGTGTAGTTGTGGGTGTGCATGAGTGCGTGTACACATTGCGTGCAAGTGTGAGAGTGTGTTTAGTGCATGAGTGCGTGTACACATGCGTGCAAGTGTGAGTGTGGTTGGTTGTGGGTGTGCATATCTTCGAGTGCGTGTACACATGCGTGCAAGTGTGAGAGTGTGTTTGTGTGTGTGATTCCTGGAGTGCAATATTGATCGTTCCTCACATCAATGCCTTTGAATCGCAGTCTTCCTCTATCCTATTTATATGCATACTCTACTGATCGTCATAGGAATATATAATCAAGGGTTTGGGGCGTGCCTTTGCGAACACCAGCTGCTGACTGCCTTATAATAAATGAAACTCAAGCGGCAAAGTTAAATGCTGGAAATAATCGTTAAAAATTCTTTTTTGTCTAGTGAGACATGCCTTGCTGGAAGTTTGTATCAGTTAAGATGTTAAAGTTAGCAGCAAATGAAAAAAAAATAGCTAACCTAATCTAAACCATATACAGGATTCGTCTGCGAGAAAACGTTTTCGTCAGCACTTCGATTTTTCGATCTTTTTCTCATTGCTCTACAATCTTTCAACGATTTTTTTCTGTTCGCTCGAGAACTTTAAGAACTAAATCAGAATTAAAAGATATGATAAGGTTAGATAACAGTGCTGGCAACGGTCTTCGAGAGATACAGCTGCAAAGTGATAATGGATGTCACTTGATAACGAATATATTAAACGCGTTACCTTGAGTATTATGCAATATGTATGTATTTGTTTTTCTGTGGGGAGATTTGTAGCTCCAGTAAATGGAAAAAAATATCGATATGTATTTCATCTGTCTGTTTCCTCATTCGCAAAACACATAGCCAGGATCACAGAGACAGAAAATGTTTATGCTCACAAAACAGGATACGTTTTAGCTGAATAACATAATACCGTCGTGAGAACGTGACTAGAATCAAATGATTTCTCTGTATACTTTTATAGATAAAAACTAAAAGCTTATCCGCTGACGTTTATTTGGTTCTAAGTATGAACTAGATCAGAAGTATATTTTACCAGAAAATCTGTCTCTCTGCTCTGCTCTCTCTCTCTCTCTCTCTCTCTCTCTCTCTCTCTCTCTCTCTCTCTCTCTCTCTCTCTCTCTCTCTCTCTCTCTCTCTCTCTCTCTCTCTCTCTCTCTCTCTCTCTCTCTCTCTCTCTCTCTCTCTCTGCATCCACACACACACACACACACACACACACACACACACACACACACACACACACACACACACACACACACACACACACACACACACACACACACACACACACACACACACACAACACACACACACACACACACACACACACACACACACACACACACACACACCACACACACACACGAACATATATATGTGTTGTGTGTGTGCGTGTGTACTGCACTGAAAATATAATATCCAAAGTAAGACACCGCGGAAGAAACGAAAGACGACTGGGCTTTTCTAACACACCAGTATATCTTAATAGAAATAATTAACGTTAACAAGAGGAATTAATCCATACCCTAAATAAACAAGAGAGGTTAGTCAGTAAAAAAAAATTGTCGAACATTTATTCAGATCTGTTGACAAGATAATACTAAAATACACTCAAATATTTACAATTATTTAAGGGCTGCTATTCGTTCACAAAACCGTCTCTCTCCTGTAAACACCCGAGTACAAGGTATAATGAGTCATACTCTCTCTTTCTCTCTCTCTTACTCTACTCTCTCTCTCTCTCTCTCTCTCTCTCTCTCTCTCTCTCTCTCTCTCTCTCTCTCCTCTCTCTCTCTCTCTCTCTCTCTCTCTCTCTCTCTCTCTCTCTCTCTCTTCTCTCTCTCTCTCTCTCTCTTCTCTCTCTTCTCTCTCTCTCTCTCTCTCTCTCTCTCTCTCTCTCTCTCTCTCTCTCTCTCTCTCTCTCTCTCTCTCTCTCTCTCTCTCTCTCTCTCTCTCTCTCTCTCTCTATGTGTGTGTTTGTGTGTGTGTGTTGTGTGCGACTCTAATATGTAACACACACATAGTGAGTCATACTCGGCTGAGAGGGGGCGATTCTGAAACTACAGCTGTAAGGTGACACTTCCACGCTCTCCTATTCACTCTCACTTATTCGCTCTCTCTCTGTTTTTTTTCTGTATTTCTCTCCCTATCTGTTTCGGTTTCCCTTAAGCAATCTCTCTCGCTTCTCTCTCTCTCTCTCTCTCTCTCTCTCTCTCTCTCTCTCTCTCTCTCTCTCTCTCTCTCTCTGCTCTCTCTCTCTCTCTCTCTCTCTCTCTCTCTCTCTCTCTCTCTCTCTCTCTCTCTCTCGTGTGTGTATGGTGTGTGGTGTGTGTGTGTGTGTGTGTGTGTGTGTGTGTGTGTGTGTGTGTGTGTGTGTGTGTGTGTGTGTGTGTGTGTGTGTGTGTGTGTGTATGTGTATATATATATATATATATATACATACATATATCTTTATGTATATATTCATCTATTTATCTATTTATATACACAAACACATATGTATGTCTATTCCAATGTCTATTTCACGTATCATTCCAACCATATGTATTACACAAGTGGGTAATGCAAGCATATGTAAATAATGTTCTTTCGACTATTGACTGTCAGCATGAAAAAAATAACAGGGCATGTGAGCATTACAGAGTCAATTTAATGTAAAGCAATAAGAGCACATACATGCATGCGCTGACATTTGCGGAATTCTAAAAAGGGTCAACCCGGGAGTTGTTGTCCACCACGTCCTGGCCGGGAGGCTGCGTCCTGAAAGGCAAGGTAATGGTATTTATAAACGGTAATGGTTTTGCCAGGCATTGCTATGCTACAATTGCTAATTTTTGTTATCGTCTCGTGTAAGAGTCCCGGATCTCTGTCAGCCATACACGCAGACCTAGTTTCATTCTATAGTGTGTAGAAACGCAACGGAATTAACAATATTTGAAACTCCCAGACGTAAACAAACGCCGCCCTACCGTTTCTGCGCGGCTGGAGAAATTGTTGCGGGAGGAGGGTCAGCAGGAGCGTCGTTGACGCAGCCTCGGCGACGCAGGAAGGGCAAGATGATCACGTCGTTGTACGTCATCATGCCCACCACCAGCACCAGGAACCCGACCGGCTAGGGAGTAAAGCGGCAGTAGTCTTTTGATAATGCTAATCGTATGTTTTTTGGGATACCTACTCGTGTGCAACCCTCTTGAGCAACGGGCTACTAATGAAGGCTCTTGTGTTCTGAAGGGCTGCACCTTCATACTAAATGATGCTGGTTACTTGGACCAATTATATTAGATTGTGTACATAGAATACATGTCTGTGCTTTAATTTGTTTTAAAGTTTGTAGCTCGAGAAGCTACTAACCTGCATCACTGACCATATAAAAGGCTATCGTAGACTTTGAATAACAGAAGTCTTAGATCATATACTATCACACTGGACTATACAAATTAAAATATGTAGAAATAATTGAAACAAATTCTGCTAATAAAACAAATAGCCAGAAGAATTATTCCTCAAAAGCTACTTTGTACATCAGCTTCTTTACTTGATGAAAACACACTTTTATGTAAACAGAAAGACTGGCCTTGTCTCCACCCACCTGTAGGTATTGGAAGCTCTCCCACTGAAGCATGATAGAGAAGACCCAGACGACGAGCGTGCGAATGGAGTCGAGCACCATCCTCGTGGTGGCAGACAGCTCCTTCGTCACGCTCACGCCGGCGAAGTTGAAGAAGGCAATGCTGAAGACGTTCACTGTGTGAGATGGAGGCAGAGTGAATGCCAAAAATGTTGGGTTGGAAGAATGGTGGTTACAGCTTCGTTCGATCGTTGAATGGGTGAAGTGTGAGGTTTAGGTCTTTGTCCTTGTTCCCACAACTAAATGAGAACTTTGATGATACACAAATAAACGTTCACATGAAAAACGCAGAAAACTGAAATCATCACTTCTGCCTAGATAGTGTTTTGATAAAGACAGACGGAAACCTTTCACCTGTCATCAACCTACACAGGAAGGCCAGCAGAAGGAGCCCGTTGTTCCCCAGCTGCACGAAGGCGTCTATGGCATCCTCCATGACCCCTCGCTCGTTGCCGCTGAATGCCCCGACGGGGATGTAGTACATGGGTATCAGAAGGATGGATAGTGTTATGAACCCGAACAAACCTGCAAGGAGTGATATTTATAAGTGAGGCTCTCCCTTGGAAGTGAAGCCTAACTTATCCCTTGATCCAGAGGGTGCTTCATAATATTCGTTGTGTATTATATTCATATATTTGTATCCCAACTAGGCCTGTTTCGTGGACTTACAAAGGAGAAAACCAAGAAAGCGTAAAACTGAAATTCACCGAGACATTGTTTTTTTAAACAAATATCCCTGCTGATCATGTGACCTCACTTCACTTACTAGTTGCAATACAGGTTTACACAGATACATATAACGAGTAAGCTTACCTTCCCAACCGACTGCTAGTAAGGGAGGCACATTATACTTGTACAGAAACTTCTCTTCCACCACCATCTGTGTCGCCGTCACCACCTGGGCAATCACGATGAGTAGATCGCCTGCGCATGAAGAAAGCGAACTTGATACACTATTGCTAACATATGCATGTAATGTGGAAAGGTATGAATATATAATCGAAACCGGTTAAATACACCTCGTATTGTGAAGATAATTGTTCTCATTCATACATTAATAGAAGATATTTGTTCTCATTCATACCTTTCCACATTTGTCAACATGAATACGGTTCATATATATGCAATATCAGCATCACAGTACTCAATGAGATGCAAACCTGTGATTATGCCGTTTATATCCGCGTTATCTCCCGTGTCTGAGGTGAGGAAGTCCGAGAGACCCACGATGATGAGGCCGAGGAGGACGGTGAAGATTCCAATCCAGTGGAAGTAGCGGAGGCGGCGGCCCAGGAAGGCCACGGAGAGCAGGCCTGTGAACACTATCACGGCACCTGCGGGGAAAAGCATGCGGAGTCGTTAAGAAAAAAATGTTCTAGAAACGGGATCTTTATGTTTTGTTTTTGTTTTTTCTATGCCTTTTCATACTGCTATTACTTCTCGTCTTCGTAAACAGTATTTCATCATGGAAAAAAATGCGTGCCCCGTAGCACTGACGGAAAACCGAACTTACATGCAAAGATATATTTCTAAACGTAATATTTTGAGAAGAATGGAAAGCAGCACTCACCTCGCAGCATCTGGAATGAGCTGGCGAAGGTGAGGTTGAGGCCGACGTACATGAGGGATGTGGCCGTCATGTCGCAAATGGCTGGTATATAGAAGATAAAAGGCGGGAAGTCCTCAGTCTGAAAGGGGAAACTGGTAATGGGATTATATATTCATGCGACTTTCATTCGCTCTTATGTCTAATGGCATCGTATTTCCCTTAAACAGTACGAAGGTCCTTATTATCCTCACATTCAGTAAATGTCCATCATATATCACTATGCTAATTTCATGCTCGTAAAGAGAATGAGTTTGCACGCGGGTTGGCATGAAATTCACCCTAAGCGAAGTGATAGGTAAGTTTCGCCGAAACCGAGTGGCTGAAATGAAGGGGACTTGACACGGAAGAAAAGGGAGCTAAAAGGCTTACTCTCAAGGATTCCGAAGACATTTCCATGGAGTTTCGGGAGCGGTGTCGTACCACTGCTCGCTGGATGAAGAAGGCCAACATACCTGGAAGAAGTATGATGATTGATGTACAGTATACGTCGCTCAGTAAGCATATTTTGATGCATATAGAGCATACATTGCTTGATTAATTCGCGGTGGAAATATATTTCACCGAAAAGAACGTAACAGTAACATATAAGAATGGGTATGGACACTCACACATGGTCTCCCCTACGAACATCCCAGCGGCCTGGAAGAACGGATGTTTGAACGCGGTCTCGTGACCCTGGCGGTTCTCTGACGTCTGGAGATCAGCCCACCTGGATGTAGACACTGGCATTAGACATTACCTTATAGTTAAAATCTTTGTCCTGTGGTGGTTGTTAATACTGATACCCCTTGTATGCTTGAGAATCTCTCATTAGCTGTCACTCATATTCTCTGTAACATTTCCCTGAGCATCTATCATCATCTGTTAGCCATATCTACTGTGCCATCTATGCCTACATCTGTGAACCAGTTTCCCTACACTAATTATCTCAGCACCTGTCACCAGCTATAACTTATATCCCTGTAACCTTTACTCCAACGTATGCCACCAGCTCTCGTTCATGTCTCCCATCCCATCTCTTTCCCAGCACATTTCTTTAAGCTGTACAAAAACCACGCTCCTTCCTCACCTCCCATCCCTCTGCACATCCTTCCCCAACACTCACTTGGTGGATAAGGTGTTGATCGAGCCGGTGGTGACCATGACCAGCGCCAGGAGCAGCTGTTTCTTGGACCAAGCCATTCTTAAATGAGATTGTGAAAACGACTGGTTGAAGGCTAAGGTGCGAAGGTGAGATCTGAATGCATAGACGCCTCCTTTGACGTTATTCAACCTTCGCGTCCTTTGAACACACTTTCAGGGAGACCAAAGAGTCAATGTTGCCCCTGTAGACGCAGCGGGGCACAGTCAGGCAGACAGTTTCATTGGACAATAGATATTTGTATCTGCATTATAGCCCCATCTTATCGCAAAACGTTATCCATTACGCCCCCAGCTTATACCGCAGCATTGCATGTGTCATTTTAGTACGCTGTCTAATCCAATAGATGAATCATTTCATTGTAATACTGGCGTCTTGCATTGTCCCTTTCGCTAACAATCGCCCAGCTATATACATACATATATATATATATATATATATATATATATATATATATATATATATATATATATACATATATATATATATATATATATATATATATATATATATAATACGATTATGATAGCAATTTTGTCATGAATATGTTTCCCCTTTTTTCTACAAGTAAACGAAAGATACTTCAAAATTTAACAAGAAATTAAGCTTTGTACATCAACCTTATACTACGATTAATATGAGTCAGAGTATTAAATAGAGAAATCAGACATTAATTGTAGTGTCGTTGCGGCAAATTATTTTAATCAAGTATACAGAATAATGTGAAACTAATTTGCAACATTTTGTAACATGAGGATGATGTTTCAGTAAAAGAATAATTTCCAGGATCGGCCTGATCGAACGAATAAGAAAGATATTAATCTGTTTCACCTATAATAAGGACAATGCTGAAAACACAATACCAGTGATAATGATTATGATATTATTGATAATACTAAATGATAATGATAATAATGATTATAATAGTAAGGATATAATGATTATGATAGTAATGATAATAATGATTATAATAGTAATGATAATAATGATTATGATAAAATGATTATGATAGTAATGATAATAATGATAATAGTAATAGTAATGATAATAACGATAATAGTAATAGTAATTATAATAATGATTATAATGTTAGCAACAAAACAATGATTTTCATTATTCTTAGCATTATCATTACTATGATTATCATCATTATCATTATCATCAATAATGTTATCATCATTGTTGCTACTATTGTTACTATTACTGTTATCATTATTATCGTTATTATTATCACTACTACCATTATTACAATCGTTATTATTACTATCATAGCTATCAGTATTAGTATCGTAATTATTTTCATTATCAACACAGTTGGTGTCGGTATCATTTCCTTTCAATATTACATCATTATCTTTACATTATTATATTACTATCATATTACTATTATTATTATGATCATCGTTATTATCAGTAGTATTATTGATTTTATTACTATTATTGTTATTATTACCATTAGTATATAATTATCATAATCATCACCATCACTATCAGAATTGTATTAATGACAGCAATAACAATTATGATAATAATAAACAATAGCAATATTCACTCTAATAAAAGACAAGTAAAGACGCACGTACAGGCCGTACGTGGATCGTGTGAGGAAGTATTGCTGTGTCCTTAATATCTGTCCTTGGCAGTCCATTCACGTACCCGGACTCTCGCCTCCGTCTCCCACATCTTTTAATTAATGAGAATTTGGGATAATTCTTCTTCTTTCATTCATTAGTTTTCATTGTTTCTCATTGATAGATAGCGTTTTTTTTTTTTTTTTTTTTTTTTTTGTCTGTGATTCCTTTTACTCTATGTTTTTTTATTAGTAGCATGAATTGCTTTTTTCTCTTCTCTTTCTGTCTCTCTCTCTCTTCTCTCTTCTCTCTCTCTCTCTCTCTCTCTCTCTCTCTCTCTCTCTCTCTCTCTCTCTCTCTCTCTCTGTGTCTGTGTGGTGTCTGGTGTGTATGTGTTGTGTGGTGTGTGTTATGTGTGTGCGTGTGTGTGTGTGTGTGTGTGTGTGTTGTGTGGTGTGTGTGTGTGTGTGTGTGTGTGTGTGTGTGTGTTGTGTGTGTTGTGTGTGTGTGGTGTGTGTGTGTGTGTGTGTGTGTGTGTGTGTGTGTGTGTGTGTGTGTGTGTGTGTGTGTGTGTGTGTGTGTGTGTGTGTGTGTGTTTTAAGGAATGAGGTTAAATGTTAAAACTTTATAAATTCTTCCGTTGTTCTGTTATTCTTACCTTCATCAAATTCAATGTGACTGAAATAGTAACAAATTCCTGATGGGAGGGGCACAGGATACAATGGCGGAACAACATACCATCTATGTGTATTTCTTTTATCTATCTATGTGCATTCATGTCATTATTTCTACTCAGTTTTAACCCTCTTCAAAATAAGTTCAATAAAAACAAATAATAATCATAATCGGAACAACATACCATCTATGTGTATTTCTTTTATTTATCTATGTGCATTCATGTCATTATTTCTACTCAGTTTTAACCCTCTTCATAATAAGTTCAATAAAAACAAATAATAATC